CTGATCAGACACGTTGATATCACAGCAACAAAAAGAACACAAGATATGCCACGTTTGACAGCTATCGAGAGAGAGAGAGCCGTTGGAATGGTCCAACAAGGAGCGACACACGTCGACGTCGCCAGAAGGTTGGGCTGCGCACGCATCACTATCACCAGGTTGATGCAGCGGTTACGTCAGACAGGTCAGACGTCAGACAGGCCCAGGAGTGGAAGACCACGAGTAACCACGCCCCGTGAAGATCGTTACATTCGGGTATTACACCTGAGGAAACGCACCGTAACAGCGACGTCCACGGCGGCTACAGCGCTGGGACACAGGATCAGTCGACAGACCGTCTACAGGAGACTACGGCAGTATGGTATCCGGCCACGTCATCCCTACCGCAGACCGATCCTGACGCCTCGACACCGGAACAACAGACTGATCTGGGCCAGGCGAGTTCGACGTTGGCAACGGCGGGACTGGGCACGTGTTATGTTCTCTGATGAGAGCAGATTCCTTATCTTCAAAAACGATGGACGGCAGCTTGTATACCGACGATTTGGTGAACGTTTGGCGCCTAACTGTATCCAACAGGTCCGGCTGTTTGGAGGTGGAGGGTTAATGGTTTGGGGTGGCATATGTGGTGACGTCAAAACGAGGCTTGTCGTAATTCGTGGAAACCTGAATGCACAGCGTTATATTGATGACATCCTACGGCCTGTTGTGGTGCCCTTTATTCAGCAACAGCCTCGTGGACTCATTTTCCAACATGACAATGCAAGGCCACACACAGCAAGATTGACACAGAACTTCCTTGCCAACGCCAACGTACAGGTTTTGCCTTGGCCCGCATGTTCACCGGACATGAATCCCATCGAGCACTTATGGGACCACCTCGATCGGCAAATCCGACGTCGCCGTGTGCCTCCAGTCAACGTCCAGGACTTGGAACGATGTCTCCTCGCATCACTCCCAACGTCATCATACGTTTGACGGCATCAGTCCGTAGGCGTGTTCTGGCATGTATTGATGCTCACGGTGGACATACCCGCTACTGACTTGACTTTGTTACGTGTGGTGTGACATTTCCCGTTGTTTCTGTGATCAATGCTCTAACGAAATGTTCTTTTTTCGACCCCACCCATCTTTAAAGGCTTGTCATATTGGTTGTACAGATTTTATTGAAATGAAATTTTTGTACAGATGTTGTGAAAGGATTTCTCAAAAGCATAACACCAATCCTAAACTTCTTCATTGTTTAGTTTTTCTTTTATGTCGTTGCAAACAGGTGGTATCGTTTCTTTTGGACACTAGTTTATATATTGATAGGATCTCAGTCAAGTTAGAAATTAGTAACAATCGGATGAACGGTTTCGGAGTTATTGGCCTAGCCTTAGCAAAACACTTCAAATTTGGCTTGTAGGCACAATATAGGCTACAATTTTAATTGATCTTAATGAAAGTTAGTATACATGTATATATTGATGTGATCTCGGTCAAGTTCGAAATGGTTAATAGCACGTCAAAACTAGTTTTTATCTAATCTTGAGGGAACTTGGTATGCATGTATATATTGATTAGTTAAGTTTGAAATTGGTAACAATCAAATGAACGGTTTCTGGGTTTTGACAGCTAGTAGTGGGCGCATGTTTTCTTGCCTGGCAAGCTATCTTTTAGTTATTTGATGTTTAAGTGCTCAGGGTGAATGACGAAAAGTGAATCGGATCTTAAAGGTTGAGAATGACTGGTCTAGACCCAATCACAATCACATTGAACTAAATTATTAGGAATAGTGTCTGCTAGCGTTGACTTTGAAGCAAATATTCGATCTGGTTCAGTTGGCATATTGAGACTATTCGTACAGAACACAATTTGGTCACACATGAAAACATATATATTTAAATGTTTAAAGACTCTCTTATTAGCTTTTAAGACATAAACCTGATATTAACACATAAACAAAGTCCTACATTATACCAAAATACCGAACAAATCACGGTTTTTTTTTATAAGCAAACAACAGTTTTTTTGACTAAATCGTGAAGTTCTGATTTACAGTACGTAATCGACATCACACAACGCCAGAATAATTTCGAGATTGGATGGTACAATCTATAATGATTTGTTTAAGAAGTGAACTCTATTTGTCCGGATTGAGTCCTGGTCTTCAACAATGAAATCCATTGAAAGATTTCCAGTCAATTCAATCAATTCTCGCAGTAGTTCTGAAAAGCCTTTCAACGTGATTGTTGTTTTGTCAATGGAAGATTTACTAACCGTCTGTTCTAAATTACCTGAAGTTCTACATGGAAACACAAAACTAAATTGTGAATCTTATCGACCTGCCATCTGCCGTTCAATACAACAGATGACACCATGGATCAGTGAATGTTCAAAAAAGATTCTACATTTACCATGTATTAGTTATATAGAGAACGACTAGGGCGGACAATTTTTCATTGGGACTATTTTTTCTATGACATGCGGGACATGTCGTTCTGCTGTTTTGGCTTGCATCCATCTTTAACGTACACAGTTTTAAAGAGCGCCTTAGGGGTTTGACCCAGCAGTTAATTCTTACGAAGTATGCCCCAGGTGAATGTCATTCTCTGAATGGAATACTTAACGTCAACTTTAAGAAGAAAATAAGACCATTCAGATACTGAGTGGTATAATAATAAAAACACGATTACAAAATCAATATTATTATGAGCAATATTCACATAATATATCACACCATATTGTCTCATTATAATTAATATTTAAATCATAAAATCATTACACCAACAAATATAACAACTATAACAATTTACATTCATAAATCTGTATGAGATCACATATAAAATCAGTCAAATATATAGGATCACATTCGATAATCAGTCAAATATATAGGATCACATTCCATAATCAGTTAAATATATAGGATCACAATTCAAAATCAGTCTAAATTTTAGAATCACATTACAAATCAGTCAAATATATAGGATTACATTCCAAATCAGTCAAATATATAGCATTGCTATCCAAAATCAGTCAAATATTATAATTAGTATTTTAGGATTTTAATACGAAAATAGTCAAATATATAGTATCGCAATCCAAAATCAGACAAATATTATAATCCAAAAGTAGTCAAATATATGTATGTAGGATGACAATCCAAAACAGTGAAATATAATGGATCACAATAAACTATTAAATATGTGGAAATAAATTGGAAGGGACAATTGTGTTTATAATAGACTTGTCACACTGATGTATATTATGGCTATTTTAACACATTTATTTCCATAAAGAGACCCACAGGAATTAAGAATTTTGCCTTTATTATTTATAAATCAGGGAAACAATCTCTCTGTGCTACAGCCAGTCTCTCAGTAACTTGCATTTTCGACTTAAAAGTGTCAAATCTTAATTTCCACCAACATATTTTTTCTTGGGTGGAAATTAAATGCCTAAACACAAAGACCGTCATTTTTTGTAAAGTTGACATTGCAATGAATATCAAAATGATTGGAAACCACAGTGGTTAGTAATGTGAACTAACTCACAAAAAGGTCATGAAAATAGCTGAACAAAACGCCGAGAGACTAATCTGTGCAACGAAATGAACACCAAAGAACCATATACAATTTAACTTGAAATCATTGTTTCAATTACTATTACAAGTTACCCAATCGACAAAGTAATGAAAGTATAGCCTCGAACACAAATTATACCAGAACAACAAATTATTTTGACATAACTGCAGAAAATTGCTATAATCATGAAAGATACCATTTACAATGATGACAGCTTGTATTTATTTTCAATATTCTTATTTCATCTTCGTTTGTAATTTTCTCTTTTCTCTGTAATTGTCCAATTTGATAGTCAATTTGCCAGAGAAAAGCCATAAACAGGCAGTGAATATTTTACCCTTCCAAATCTGAATAACGTCGAAGGCAGCAAAAGTGGCAAGATAATCCTGCTAAAGCGATGTAGTTAGTGAAGCGTTTAGTTGTGAAATGTATATAGCTTTAAAATATGACAAAGGATAATGAAATAATTAGATTTTTTCTACATAAATTTCTTTTACCAGACACATATTATTAAAACAATAATCTTCGTGATGACGTTAGTGTAGGTAATTTCAAGAAAAAAGCAGAGAATATCGAAAATTAATTGTTCGCTTTATAGCTATTCTGTTCAAGTTAATTAACCCTTCTTCTAAATAGAACCTATAACATCGTTCGTGATAAAGAGTAATTTAATCTAATGGGTTCCTTATCAATGTCAGTATCATAATATTTTAGTTTAGTCTATTATTTTGTTTTTGATAAATAACGTGGGCTTATATTTATAACATTTACAAAAATACATCGTAAATATGGTACGTTTTGCAAAGACAGGACAATGTAGAATTTTTTTTTACGAAGTAGATTTGCACGGAGATATTGTCTCATGTTCAAACTGGTTAAATGGAGCTAATTTGGTCCTACTATTCTCACATTTTAGACAATCGACTACTGAATAATATTTGAAATGGTCTTAGGGTGGCATGTTGGTCTTGGCAACCATACAAACAGAGAAAACAGAGCACAATCCCAGTTAACACTAAATTTACAAGAACTGTGAAATGTCTCATTAAAAAGCAGATTTCTCTTGGAACACAACGATAATGATGCCGGCAGCTAAAAATGTTGGGATAGATTTCATTATCACGAATGATGCTCACAGAAGTATGCGCTTGAATTTCACAAAGACTTTTAATGTCACCTTTTTATGCACAATTACTTACAATTATTGAACATTCTGAGAGATAATGGCTTACTCAAAAGTACAAAAACTTTTGAAAATTACACTTCATTTACATGTCACAATTGAAGTGCAATGTCACCTGACAATAATGTTTTCACTTCACAACAAAGCTAATAGCATGATCAATTACACTTCGAGCATCGTAATGAATAAAGTTTATCATGTTAGATCAACTGCATAATTCTATTAAATAGGTAGATAGAAGAACACAATATGCTATCAGATGATATCAAAGAACAATATACTCTGACGTCAATCACATGAAAAAACACTCGATGTATCATTTTTCTTTAAATCAAAGGTAATGTGTTTTTACACATTGGGCTGGTATCATCAATAACAATTAACATGGCTAAAGAATGGATAATTTGAACATTTTTTGTATTCGATCGAAGACTACATTTGACGTCTTTCATTTTGATTTCGCATGAAAAATTTAGCTTTCCAAGCCTTAACATCACATTGAACAAACTACAGTGGTCCATCCAAATCCATAAAGAAGGTTATGTACTACCTCTACTACAGCAACGTAGTTAGTCAAATCCCAGCCTTACCTTACCCCCTTGTATTCGGTCGACATTTACATCAGCGAAATAAGTATAATCCCAGGGTTGTTAGTAGACAATATACGTTTACCACTTACGCAAGTTAGTACTCGAATAACCACGCAGTTAGTCTATTTCAGTCAGTAAGTGGACAATGATGTTGTAAGTCTACCACCATGTAATAAGTTCACCACCAAAGAGTAAGTCCAAACCACATAGTAAGTGTAATCCTAACGAAAAAGGAACAGTTTTAAGTCCACAACACGACACATGAAGAATATAGACTACTTTCAGGTCATGAGTTACTACATTGCCACAATCAGACCACTCACAAATTTAAGCAGAAATACAACAAAGTAAAATCAGTTGCAAAAAATCCTATATGCAGCCAAGTTTATGCTACTGTACGGTGATCCACAGATTCAGTTTATAATTTAGATTTAGAACGGTCTTAAAAAACACAGGAAATTTCCACGATATAACAATGATTTTGTAGTACTCATGTATCCCAATGAAAAAGTCATCAATAACCCCAAAGTCGTAGACGTAATCTATAACCACAAACGATTTCTTTTTTTTTTGTCCTCGGTGAATCACCTTGATATGAATTAAAAGGTTTTTTACCAAGTGAGATTTTCCTCATTCTCGCCACACGATATGAACGATATACATTCAATTCATCACACACCATGATTTTTCGTGTACATTTTTTTTTTTACAAAAATAACTAATCATCAACAGTTAATATTATTTACCAACGTACATCGTGTATAATTGACTATTACGTTTCATAATATCCACACATGGGCCTAAAAGACGTTCAAAACATTCGCGTTCTAAAAATGCTACTTTGACTTTGCCGACGGCGTAGACGTTTGCAGTTCTAGGTTTATTTTCAATAAGGGCTAATTCCCCGAAATAGGTCCCTGTAGATCGAGTGGCAATTTCTTGTTCACTACCCTCAGGATTGTCTATAGTGATTCTTATATGTCCATCCTCAACAAAATAGATTCCATCAGCATCGTCCCCTTGTTTTATGATTGCCTCCCCTTCTTGATAAATTTTTGGGTGAAGTGCGTCAGCGAGGGTCATTCTTTCATAATGATCTAACGATTGTAGAATTGTTACATTTTCTAAAAGATGTTCATATTTCTTTCGCTTTTTGAAGGCACTTTTAAGCACTATTCGTCTAAAAGAGTTCCTGTCCATTGCCCACAATGTTCCTGATGTTTTGGCAGTAACGGTAGCTGAACGTGGCATATTATACATTAATGCTAGCTCACCAAAACTACCGCGATTATCGAAAGTATGCACCGATTTATCAGCTCCTTTCACATTCACAGAAACCTCGTATATTCCGTCGTCTATGACATAAAAATTATCTCCGTCATCTCCTTGTTGAATAACAGTTTCACCAGGTTTAACTTTCATTTCAAACATAGCATCGATCACTTCTTGCATTTGGTCCGAATCTAGAGAACGGAATAACAGAATTCCACTGACCGCTTCTGTAAGTCTCTCTCTTTGAGCATCAGTTTTAGGATGAACTACTCTGTCATCATCATCGTCGTCCTCCTCGGGATCGTAACGTTCAGCAGAGACACTTTGGCGCCTTGCATAACGGTTGCGTGTATTTTTAGGTTGAAACATTTTAGGATCTGGTTCACCAGCTTCCTCATCACTGTCCACAATAATGTACATAGGCACTTCTTTAGGGCGCCTGGTATCTCTAGCTGTAGTGAAATATTCTACTGCATAATCATACAAATCGTTCGGTTTTTCACGTAAAACTGATACGGTGAAGTCTCTCAGTAGATCACCGAGGCCGTCTGGGATCTCCAGATTCATGATGGTTTAAATGGAAGCAGACAGGGTGGTACGGATGATCATGAATAGAAAATAATAGCTTGTATAACGACCCACGAGAATTCCATATAAGTTCACATGAAGCACTGTTTGCCTTAGTAGTTCTCCCTTCGATAATCAATTAAATTAATCCTGTAGTGAAGGCTAGACTTGGGAGAATAAATATTTTATATTCTATTCCACCATATTGGAATATCACAATAGTGTATTCCTCAGTTAGAGAGTAATATAACAGCAGATCGGGTTAGAGGGTAAGGAAACCAGGTGTGACCAATCAAATTAATTAGTTTTTGATGACGTCCTAGATTGTGAACACTCTTCCTGTGTCTAGGGTTATGAAAAGGTGATTACGTCAACCTGAAATGATAAGTAATTAAAATTAATTAAAGCAATTTAAAACATAATTGGTCTACCTCATTAATACACTGTATCTCACCGATAAGTTCATAAAGGTGCTTTTAATCATCAGACACAATTCTGATTTTTTAGGTTGCAACATACATATATCAGCTGTGGTATGGCGATGAGCTGCTATTCACTGATAAAGCGAAGCCAATAAATATTTATTAAGTAGGCCTTCAGGACAGGTTAGGCTTCTGAGCAATTAAATTTTGTTAAGAAATATGACCAGAAAAGGTTTTGAAATCGTTCAAATACTGAAGGAAATTTATAGTTTTTAAATTTGGAAAAAAATGTCCAGAAAACATGCAATGGGTGAAAAAAAAAATAAGCATCGTTTTGTTGAATAAATAATCAAATTAGACATATTTTGCTTTTTTAATTGCTTTTTCGACAGGATACGATTTATAACCCCCCTTTTTTTGGATTCAAACTTTTAGATTATCTTACAGTGACCAAGATAATGTAAACACTACAAGAACGTGAAACACAAATAAGCAGTGGGCCCGTAGAAAGTTCTAGAGTGTACAAGTGAACGACAACAAGGTAGACTAAACAGACGCCATATTGTATTGGGAATAATTATGTGTGATTTTTATGCTAAAAATATTGATACTTGTATCATCCTTAATTAAACTAAACTATGGATCAATATTTTACATAATGCTTTTTATTTACTGTATATCTTCGTTACATGATCAACAAATGAAAGCTTTCGTTAAAAGATAAACAGCACGTTGGATTCACTCAGTAAATATCCGGAAATGTTATCTGTTAAATACAGCACTTTCACTATCAAATAGACATTTACGGGGAACTATCCAGCAAATCAAAAGATCAGTGTAAATATTTAGTCAAATTCGGTTCAATTTGAAAATGATTAAATTCACTTAATTCCTTACCCTACAGATTAGAATGTAGAAATATTATCATTAAAGATATATTAATCATAAATTTCAATATGTTTATCATTTCTACCAGTCATATATACAAAGATCAACAACAGCTTGTTCTCGATAATATTGAGAGCTGCCAATCAATTTTTATCAGTGATGACATTGTACAGAAAAGGTTTTTGTAGCCAATGTGAAGTATAACGTGTAATAAGATAATTCTCGTTCAGCACACAAAATGCAGCCATGCAGTGTATTCGATGTAAAAAATGACGTTCTCTATTTTGATTATTTTCAAGAACATCTTCATTTCCATTGGTATACTTGTTTCTGGTAAAGTGTTCAACAACATGTGCAGGAGGACCAAATGACAACACAATCTAACGAAGTCGTTTATAAAAACACACATTCATCACAGAACAAAAGACTATCAATAACACATACTTATCGTCTAACACAAAATTTTCTAAGAATTAATACAATGAAAACAAATAAAGGATCCACCAGCTAGTCGTTAGCGTCCTCAACACTATACAAGGCATAAATTGAATTACCAATAAGTTAAATTATTTAAAATAAAATAGACAAGAGTTGAAACAATTTCATTTCCTGACCAAGGTCAATCAGTTTGTTTTACGTACGTCGTCGGCTAATCGTGAGTTCAAAAAGGTCTTTTTTTATGATTTTCAACCACATAAAAGTAAATCATTGACCTGAATAAAAATTATATTTTTCTGCATCAATACTTTAGAATTCGTACCATACTTGAAATTTATATAACCAGGAAATCAAGCAGTCGAGTTCACTGCATGACTTGCTCTTTTGTTATATGATTATTTCAAGCACAATCAATTTCCAAGCATTAAAAATTTAGTTGCAGTGCACCAAGATGAGAAAATACAATAAAACAAACAGTTGCTGTGCTTTACAATAATAGACTTTAACACACTTGCCATACATGATCGGAGAAAATTTACATGTGACACTTGTTCTAGATCATTTAAAGGGGTATTCCGGTTTTTTTTTCACAAATTTGAAAAAAAATAAAATTCGACCTACAAAAATCGAATTGTTCCTTTAAATATCCGGCCAATCAATGGTCAGTTCACCAATAGATCCACCCGCTATTTGTGATTCTGGTATATCAATCATTTTAATATTTATATTGCCAGACATTTTTAAAAAATGGTTTTGATTGGCTATCATAAATTATTACATCTGTTTAACCCTCATAATAGGGAAAAAATTCGACTGAACACGATTTAAAGAAGAATTTCATTAGATTGTGGATGGCGAATGGGCTTCCTGCAAAATTTCAAATGAAGATTTTCCTTTTAAGATTAAGTTCGATTCAAGTGGATGCAAAAATTGGTCATACTCAAACTAAATAGGCTACAGCAATTGAAGGCTCCGAAATTGATATGACCACTTTTTGTATCCATAAAAAAGTAAGTTACCTCGTTTCATTAGATTAAACTTCAACGCAACAGCACAGTTGTTGTGATTCACTTATACATTGAATATAAAATATACATCAAGGTTAAAAGGTACAAAATTTACATTATGCATGCACGGGTCGGGAAATACATCCTGACATCTTTACGCTATCAATTATTTAAGAAACATGCAACAAATTCCAATACGCTTCAATCGTTCCATAAATCATCTGATCACTGATGAAACGTTTACTGAACTGGAAAATTAGTTCCAGATAAACCTGGGTCATCCTGCAGATATTTCATAAGGATCGACATTTTATCAGCAGTCTCTTTATTTGGTGGGATTTTGATTTATTAGAACTAATTAAACTTTAAAAAATGGGTTGTTATCTTCAACTTAGTGAGCACACAGATTCAAATTTATGTAGCAATACAAACAGCCTGTGCTTACCATAATAAGGACCATGAATGTTTCAACTTAACAATCAACATACATTCGTAGAGATGCAGTGTAGGAAGAAAACAAGACGTTGGATTATCACTCTTAAAAGTGATCAGGATATTTGAATTCATCCCTTGAAACGCATATTATCTAACTGACTACAACCATTTTAAATTGTCCACATCCCTGATATTGATAAATTACATTTATATTTACTTGACTGAATAATCACCGGGAATTTCAAGGCAGTTATTTCCTTTCAGCTCTAATGACTCAACAATCCTAAACAGTTTATCAGTATAAATGAGGAAGTATTTGATGGACATGATCCGGTGATAATACTATATAAGATATGATTATCAACTGATCGTATCATCCCGTATCTCTAGAAATCAATAGCTTTCTCCTTAAATTTATGAGAGTTAAGATAATATTTGTGATAAGAGCTAAAATTCCAAATATTGTCCCCTGAAAGCAATGACCGTTAATTGGACATTTACCTAATTTCTAAAGTTAAAGAAGAAAAAAGGATATTAGAGTTCTTGAATTTAAATTGAGTTTTTGATAAGGATTCTGGAATTTCTTATTTATTCCCATGCATGCATCCAGTTTGCAGTGTAATCGATTTTATTTTAACCTTTCATTTTAAGATAAGTCACTCTAAACTTTCGGAGGTGTCAGTTCATGAAAAAATTTCATTTAACAGATGTCGCTCGAGAAAATAGAAATTGTTAACGTTTTCCTATTGTGATGAAAACCTCATAAAGGCGTTATAATAATCCGACGATTCAAAGGTCTGTTGGCATGCAATGGTACACGAACTCTCTCTTAGACCGATCCACGGATTTAGTCGTAGTGTGGATCCTGCCTCATACGAGATGCTACTGTACAAGTTAGTCGAACAATATTTACTAGGTCATGTAGTTCTCGATTAGAAAGCGCTTGAATCAATTTCAGTCTTAAGAAAAGTATTTACCACTCTTATTCAAAATAATGGCATAAAAGCCTAATATCATTTTGTAAGTTTCCTACAACCGAATACAACATTAAGGTTCGTGTGTTAGACTCTGCTTACCCTTAACAGTAATAATACACTCGATAAAAACCTAGTAAAATGACCCAATTACTACAGTCACCTTGACTTGACTAGAATCCTAGCTTATAACGACATGATTGGTGATAGCCAACCAGGAATTACCTACCACAAGACTTCTGGAAGCAATAACGATAACAAGCTTCTCTGTTTGGTTTCTAAAGGTAAAATAAAGGTTACTTTAATATCCTTAATGTAAGGTTTTAATATTTTTTCTGATTAAATTGAAGTAAACCGGCTCACTTAATCAAATACCACATTAGGAAATTGTACTGTAGCCAACTGATGAATTATTCAACACCCTTATCAAGATTACACTGATAAGATAACGTGAATGAGTTTCTCAATGAAGTATTCAAGATGGTATCACTTTTTTACATTGCAAAGAATTCCAGAATTAAAGTAAGACAAAAACTAATTCTGTGTTTTCTTTCAACTCAATCCAGGTTGTTTATTTTTATTACTGCTTTATATAACGATAGTTATTTTAAACTGGCTAATGTGACAGGTTTAAATGAACATATTTATCCGAGTAAACTGTTTGTATGGTTCCTAGTCATTAATTATGTAGTCTAAAATGCTAAAAGTATGTATTTCAGACAGCTCTGATAATTAATCGAACTGAAAACCTCTGTGACCAAAATGTCTATACATACAGAATATGATTGTGAAATCACTGAGAGCAGTTTCACGCCGATATCCAAGCTTTTGACGAAAAAATTAAGTTGTTAATGTCGATCTATGTTTCGAATCTTGAGAGCAGTTGGTTTAAAATTCTTTCGTGAGTTATTAACTACAAAATGTATCCCCATTTCAAGCTACACCTGACTCTTTCATTAACTTGTATAAAGTAATACGATTAACGCCTGGCTGGTAAGTGTTGATAAAGGTAGTAAGTTGATTCAGTTGTGTTAGCTCCAGGGGCAACATGTCA